CAGATCACTCAAGCCAGATGTGGTTGAGTACTTATTTAAAAAGATAAACAAATAAAAGTAACATTTCCAATAGTGTGTGCCAATAATGCAAAGAGGATAACGGCTTCCTCCTTCCGAGACCTGAGAGAGCAGGCTGCCTGAGCCCCCAGAAGCAGGCACGACTACTCTCACCAGCTCTGCTCCGCTCAGCAAGCCTTTCCCTGAACTGCAAGGAGTACCTTCTGCTTCGCTCCCCCAGCACACTTCCCCAAGTGCAGCTTCATCCCTCCACTCAGACATCCGGGCATTTGCACAGAGTCAGGATGTGCGGCTCGGACACCTACAGAACCAACCCTAGGCTGTCCACGCAGGCACATCCCCAGCAAACCACACTGATGTCTCTGCAATACAACTCAAGGATTCAGAGAGGGGAACAAGAAGACTGTGGCCGCTTTTCCTCCTAATGACCAGGGCGGGTGCAGCTCCATGAGAAGCAGGCATAGGTGCCGGGAGGGGGCCTGTTGGGCACCCCAATAGCTGACAGAATCCACTGGTTGTGTTTTCTCTCACCATATCCCTAGAGCTTCTCACCCATATGCTGGTGGGTCTGCCAAGCCTTTGTTCTTTCCCTCCAGAAGATTCCCAGTCAACCTCTGCCTCCCCTGCCCCCTTCCTTCCTCCCCAGCAGCCCCCTGATGGGTGGAGTAGATCTGAGTGGTAACTGAAGCTCACTAGCTCACTTGCCTGGGAGGCGATGCAAGGTACCATCCTGAGCTGCCCATCTGTATCAGCCCCTTCAGTCCTCACTATGATTCTCTGAGGCAGGTACTATCAGAAACCTGATTTTTTAGGTGGAAAACTGAGCCACGGTAAGTCAAGCAGTTGTCAGTGACAGAGAGCTTGAGCCAGGCCATCTGAATGCATAGCCTGTGTGCTTTGCCACTAGGCCACACTGCCTTTTAAGCAAACTCATCAAAGGGATTCGATGGTTGTGCTTGAAACAGAAGCAACTGTTCAGTCTAATCTGGAATCTGCTGATGCCCAGCCAAGCACTGGCACACTTACCCTGCAGCAGGCCTCATGTGAGCACTACTGCTTGTGCCTGCTTCCCCATCTCCGTTCTTCTGGACACAGTGACTGGGGAGGCCACCCTTTCCTGCACCACAGAGCTCTGGTAGCTGCAACTGCCACCCTCCCTTACCACAACTGCCTCCCCCTACCCCCATAACCAGAACCGTCACAAGACTCAGACCTGGCACCCCATCTCCCAGTGTAGAGCAGTCATTCAGGGCAAAAAGGGAAAATCAGGGCCAATTCTACAACTTCACCAAAACTCCACTGTAACAAAGTGAACGTTAAGCCAGCTACTGCCGGCCAAGGAAGTGTGCAGCATCTGGCACGTTCACTGGGCTGAGCACTCACGGCTACCCCCATCTCTTTCCCAAAAGGAGCTCTACACACAGCAGACAGCTACTGCATTAGTTTGCTGGGGCTGTTAGATGTACCAGACTGGCAGTTAAACCACAGCAATGGGTTCTCCTACAGTTTGGAAGCCTAGGCTGACGGGCCACATTCCCCAGCGCCTTTCCTGTGTGCATCTCTGAGTACTCATCTCTCCTGCAAGGATCTCCAGTCTGTATCTTAGGTATGTGTTCTGCAGCATGCAGGGTCTGGGGCACTCGTTAAAATTCTGAGGCTTGCGATTTAGAGAGGACCGAATGCCAGGACTGTTTACACCACCCAGAGCATGCATTGTGCGGCTCCACTGTGGCTAATGAAGTGGCAGAGTCCAAACACAAGCCAGGCCTCTCCAGCTCAGGCTCTGTGACGCTGGTCCTGGAGGAAAGCTCTTGGCAGCAACGCAGGGCGCAGGCTACCCTAAGGACACTCCTCCCCAGTTTCCCTCCCTAGCATGGCTCCTGGGGTAGTGCCCTCTGCCTCTCAGTGCCTGGCTCATGGTGGGCTCCAGCGCAAAGTGCCAGGAATTCAGAGGGCAAGGCAGCATGCAGGCATCCTACCCTCAAGCAGAACCCAGCCTGTACCACATGGTAAGAAATAGCCACAAGTCCTTCAGCAGAACCTGGCCTGCACCTCTCAGGACGTCCTCACAGCCCCGCAGTATGTCCTCCTTGAGCCATACCGGGGCTGCACCTGTGTACAGGTGCACAGTCTGGTTAAGACCCCAACAGTGAGAAACCATGGCCCCCAAACAGCAGCGACAGCAGTAGGCAGGCCTGGCTGGCACAGAATGGTTCTGATTCTGCAGGCGTTGGCATGAATGGGTCTAGTTCCCTTGACCGCTGCCTTCTTGGGTCTGACACCATGTCCAGAGCTGCGGGCAGGGGCCAGAGTGCCTGCAGAGTGCCAGAGGGTCCTGGACACAGGCAACAGCAGCGTGTAAATGACCCAGGCCTCCCCAGAAAGCCAGGGGTCCCCAATGCCTTTCCATCATCACCCATGCAGGCGTGATCCTAACTGCTGAGATCCCAAAGGTCCCCTAAGGTCTAAAATCCTCAAAGATTGAAAGTCCCAAAACAACAATGTCTCAAATGTTGGAATGCTGAAAACTGGAATCCTCAAACCTAAAATTCCTGTTAGAAAAAAAAGAAAAGGCTACGTAGAAAAGGCAGGAAGGCAGATTCTGGGGAAAGAATGTAGACAGTATCACTGTCAGATTATTCCAAGGGATGCTACTGCCCGCACACAGTATCACACTTGCCACCAGAGGGTACGACCACCCTGAAGTTCCCAGGGTCTTCCCCCAGACCCTCTTCCTGCCTTTCTTGGTTCAGGGCCTTCCAACCCCCTACCCCAAGGTAAGGCAGGACAGGAAATCACATCTGTGACCTCAGGGAGGCCCCTGGAGCCCACCCCACTATGGCGACCCTTTTGTGATAAAGACTCCAACAGCTGCCAAGCGGTTCCAGGTCAGACTCACTCGGGAACTCTGTTCATTGTCACCCCAGGGCCCTCCATCAGTCATCTGTGTCAGGACTTCGAAACCTTCTGTGAGCAAGCCCCAGGAGGAAGCAACTTCCTGTTCACACTGCCAGCCTGTGTGTACGAATAGATTTGCATGGGGTATTGTTCGTTCTAGTCTATACGGTGCATAATGTCAAAGCATCGGTTACAACGGATGCCGCGCTTTCAGAGCTCACGTGGACATGACTCCCAGCGTTTAAACACTTGCCCCCTTAACTCGCACAAGCATGCAGCGGCTCCTCGCTATCCACGAGGGAGTCCTTCTGGCGAACCTGGCCTGGCATCCGGGGTGACTGCATACTGAGTCAAGGAGTTTTGGGCCACATTGGATTCTTTGCTAAGACAGACTTTTCCAATGCAGTGCATGGATGCGCCTCTCCAGAAGGCTCCAGCACAGAGTGGTTGTGGGCGGCAGAGGGCCCAAGACCAGGACCTGCCCCTCTCGCCTCCCCCGCAGCAGGGCTTAGCTGCTGCATCGCTCCCACAGGATGACGCCTGGCTGCTTTGCTCTACTTTGCCTCCAAGGAGGGAGACTTGTTCTCCACACAGAACGGCCAATCTGCCTCGACTCTGCTCCAAGCCTACCTTGGGGAGAGGGCCCAGTCACTTCTCTCCTCTAAAGCTGAACTGAGGATCGGGCTAAGTTGTTTTTGTCCTGGGTTGCATGCCCTCATGGGCAAGGCAGGGATCATTCATTCTGGCCTCAAAAGTCGTCCCCTGGATGCCAAAACCCACAGACACTCAAGTCCCCCCTTTTGCCCAGAGCCCACACAGCTGCTTGAGTGCTTTCAATCATCTCGACATGACTCATCATATCTAACACGACACAAACGCTTTGTAAATCGCTGGCATGCTGAAGAGAGAAACCGTTGTACACATTCAGTACAGACGCAATTGTTTTTCTGATTATTTTGGTACTAGGTTGGTTGAAGCCACAGAAGTGGCAGCCAGGGATGGAGGACCAGCTGCACACTCACCAAGCACCTAGCACTTGGGCAGGAAGAAGGACTGTCCACATCTCATGCTTTGCAGTTCATCTGAAAACTCAGGAGTTTGTCTCGCTATGCAACGGCCATTCCCAGCTTTCTGTCTAATGGTGTCACTACTTGTCACGTCCTCCTCTTGTTAAAACCTCAGAAGTGCTGGCAAAGCTTCGTCTCAGCCATTTGCCCCTCTGCCAGCAGGCCTCAGAGGCTGCATTTTCCCCCCCATGAGATGCCCCCATCGTAGAGGGGCTGGGGACGTTGGAGGTATCTGCCGTGAGTCTGGTGTCTGGCCTGAAAGTTGCTAGCATGGTAACCGTAGGGAGCGAAAGTGAGGTCAGAGGATGTGCGAGCTGAACTGAAAACAAAAGTCGCTTTCCCCATGTGTCTAGAAGCCCGAGACCCCTTGTGGTTCAATGCACGCTCCACAGGTATCATCTGCCATCCTGGTCAAGGATCACTCCGACCCTGAAAATGCCACAGTCAGAGGCCACACTGATGTCCCCCACTGTGGTTGACACCAACCTCCCCGAGAACAACGAGCCCTGATGTGAATCTGGACTTGACCCACACAGATCAAGAACCAACAACTCCTGTTCTGATTCACAGCCATGCTGGTCCACCCCAGCAAACACCAGACAGCTTCACTGGAATAATTCAAACTGTATTTCCCTTTCCTTTCCTCTGTTACCCTTGAAATAAGTAAAACACAAAGGCAACATTCAGCAGACCGCTTGTCCCCTCTCCCCAGATAACGACGTTAATCCCATGCAAGCCGTGTCTCCCATTGACTCACATCTGCTTTTCTATCTGTAAATTGGAACGGTAGCCACGCTTCTGTACTCAGGCTTTTCTCCTAAGTGAACCCTGACAACCAGACCACATCCTGTTCATCCTTGAACCACCAAAGCGACGCGAGCCAGGAGGAGCAACAGTTCACAAGTGACGACGCCTGCAACCCAACACAATCTCTTGATGCCCAGACGGACGTGCATGCTCAGCCACTCTGAGCCGACACAGACACAGCAGCCAGGCCAGGAGCAGAAATGCACTTACCGGGGGGGCACACGCATTCGGACGGGGCTTCCCGAACTGTCCGGAGTTTGGCCAGTCCATCCAACTTCTGAACCGAGAAGAGAAGAAAACATAAACATGAGGATGAGTTTCTGAGCAGAGAGGAGGGGTGGGAAATGGGACAACTGACAAAGGCATCTGAGCCATCTGTGGGGATGGAAGTGCTTCTCGTTTTCTATAAAATTGTATAAAATCTTTCTAGAACTTTTTAAATGAATTCATTTTATTTATTAAGAGTGGAGGGAGGGAGACAGGGAAGGGGGGTGCTCTTCTATCGCTTAGCTCCATCACCAAGTGCCCCCAACAGCTAGGGTTGGCTCAGGTAAAAGCCAGGGAGGGGCTGGGAGCCCAAGCTGGCAGTCCTGTATGGGTGGCAGGGCCCCAGCTACTTGTACCATTGGTTCTCACAGTGTGTGTATTAGCAGGAAGCTGGAGCTGGAGCAGAGCTGGATTCGAATACAGTCACTCAATGCAGGCATCTCAAATAGAATCACAATCTCTAGGTGAAATGCCCACCCCAACAGGCAATTTTAGAATGAATCTTAGTTTTTAGAAACAAAAGTAACTCATACTGCCGAGTCCCTGATACCAGGAATTAAAATACCAGGAAAATCCAAAGAAGCAGAACAGGCCACTGCTTCACGCATGAGATAAGCCCAGCCTTACCCAGGAAACCTTGGGGCCTCCACGGCTGCAGCTCTCCCAGCTCCCAGGCCTTGGACAGGAATGCCCCAGACCCTCACCCAGGAAGCCCCAGGGCCCCCACGGCTGCAGCTCTCCCAGCTCCCAGGCCTCGGACAGGAATGCCCCAGACCCTCACCCAGGAAGCCCCAGGGCCCCCACGGCTGCAGCTCTCCCAGCTCCCAGGCCTCGGACAGGAATGCCCCAGACCTAATCCTCCTTGACAACGTTTGCCCTCTTCTCTCCACCAGGGACCCTTCGCCCATATAAACTTGATTTAGTACAATCTCACGAGTCTCTGCAAACATACAACTCTGTGCTTGAACTTGCTCAAAGGAAAAAAAAAAGTGACAGAAATCACTGAATCAAAAGTCACAGTGGCATTCAGCGGTAAGTCCAGAATGGCTCTGTTTGGCCAAGGCCTGAGCAGCTCACCCCGCCAGGCGACTTTTGAGGCCAGAATGAATGATCCCTGCCTTGCCCATGAGGGCATGCAACCCGGGACAAAAACAACTTAGCCCAATCCTCAATTCAGCTTTAGAGGAGAGAAGTGACTGGGCCCTCATCCCCAAGGTAGGTTTGGGGCAGAGTCGAGGCAGATTGGCCGTTCTGTGGGGAGCAAAGCAGCCAGGCGTCATCCTGTGGGAGCGATGCAGCAGCTTAGCCCTGCTGCGGGGGTGGCGAGAGGGGCAGGTCCTGGTCTTGGGCCCTCTGCCGCCCACAACCACTCTGTGCTGGAGCCTTCTGGAGAGGCGCATCCGTGCACTGCGTTGGAAAAGTCTGTCTTAGCAAAGAAGCCAATGTGGCCCAAAACTCCTTGACTTAGTATGCAGTCACCCCGGATGCCAGGCCAAGTTCGCCATCCCCCACCTTCTCCGCAGGTAAAGTCTGTTGCACTCTGTTGTGTTGGCTTAGCCATAACCTCCCCAATATGCCTGATGTTCCCTTAGGCATTTTCAACCCGCCGGCCTCTTGCTCCCTGGCTACCATTCCCATTTACTTAGGCTGTGCTCAGAGTTGAGACCAAACTCCCTCTGAATAGAATTTCCCTTACCAAGCTGCAATGGACATCACTCAATTGTATCTTTTTTAATACCATGCAGCCTGAAAGTTTCCTAAGACAGGACACCAGCCAAGCCTTGACTGTCTCGAGCTGGAACAGCCCTGAACTAGGAGTCTGAACTGAAGTCTTCTCCAAAGTAGCTTAACCGGGGTGCCTCTACAGACTCCACAATACGAACAGGTTCCCCTTTATCCTGGTCCTCTGAGGACCGAGGGGATGCACTGACACTGAAAACAGGTAAAGAAATAAGAGATGGGCAAATTGTTGACATTCAGCAATAGCATGAGCTTGCCCAGGAAGCTGGCTCGCTTCTGGACGTCAGTCCCTCAGCTCCTCGCTGGGACTTTGAGTTGCCACTCTAGTCTGGAGCCCCCCAGCTGGCCCAAAGGGACCCTGTGAGCAGGTTCCAGCCCACCCCCACTCCCACTCACTGTTGCAGTGGCCAAGGCCCCCATCAGGCGGCAACACGGTCCCATCACCGGCAGCAGCAGACACTCCCCCGACTCCCAGTCCCCAACGGGATGGGGGCTTCTGTACCGGCACCTGAGAGTTTGATACTACCCAGTCATGCAGAGCCTGTGCAGAAGCTGCGGCTCGGGTAGCACTTCCGTGCTCTCTCCATTGCATTCGGTCTGCAAATACTCCTGCTAGCAGATGGTAAAATGCCCTTGGAAAATGAACCCAGCCCTCTCTCTTAAGCTAGTCCATTTGTGACAACTGAACAGTGCTAAGTAGAATAGAGGGGACTGTCACATTCCTTTCTTCAACAAGTGCTTTTTAGAAAGATTTATTTTAAAGCAGAATGCGGGGAGAGAGAGAGAGAGAGAGAGAGAGAGAGAGAGAGAGAGAGACATCTGTTGGTTCACTTCACGGATGCCTGCAACAACTAGAGCTGGGTCAGGCCGAAGCCAGGAGCCAGGAGATCCATCTAGGGTTTTTAGGATATGTAACTGCTGCAAAGGGACATCCAGGGATAAGGCCAGTGTGAGTGTAGGTGAAGGACGAATTCTGTGTGATTCCTAGCGATAGGGTCACGGAACTTGTTTGCAAACATGGGGACTGAGATCTGAGGGTTTAGATGGGAGAGTCCATAAGTTCTATTTGGGCCAGACTGATTCACCAGTGGGTGGCAGGAAGCCAAGTACCTGGGCCCCCCTTTGCTGCTTCCCAAGTACAGCAGCAGAAAGCTGGATTGGAAACAGGGCAGCCGGGACTTGAACCACTGTATCACAAGGCCTACCCCTAAGTAAAAGCATTTAATGGTAAAAACAAACAAACAAAAAAAAACCATTCAACCTTTAACAACTGCTCTCACAGCTGCACATACGGGCCTCTTCCTCCTAGGGCAGGGGAGGTTTCACCAAATATTGACAGGTATCCCAATGACTTTTTTTTTTTTTTTAAGATTTATTTTATTTTTATTGGAAAAGCGGATATAGAGAGAGGAGAGACAGAGAAGATCTTCCTTCCGATGATTCACTCCCCAAGTGAGCACAATGGCCGATGCTGATGCTATGCCGCTCTGAAGCCAGGAGCCTCTTCCGGGTCTCCCACACGGGTGCAGGGTCCCAAAGCTTTGGGCCGTCCTCGATTGCCTTCCCAGGCTGCAGGCAGGGAGCTGGAAGGGAAGCGGGGCCGCCGGGATTAGAACTGGCGCCCATATGGGATCCCGGGCATGCAAGGTGAGGACCTTAACCACTGCGCCATCGCGCCGGGCCCATCCCAATGACTTTTAAGCTACGTAACAACAAACAGCTAACTGGGAAAGACTGGCATGAGAAAGCATGCAGAGGGTAGAGCACCTGAACGTCTAGTCTCTAACTCTCTACACACTGGCTTTTCTGGAGTTAACGACCACGAACACACTCCAGCCCCCCAACTCTCTGTGGCTTTTGAATGAACACTAGGATGAATACAAAGCGAGATGCTTGAAAGCTGAAACCCACTCTCCCAGTTTCTCCTTCATGCCTTTCTTGTTTCTAAGAAAATATTCTTTTGTGTCCAGATTTATAAAAATGTCTTAAAAGCGTTGGTGTTTTGCATCCAAAGATCTGGCAGCGTCCCTAGCATCTGTAAGCAACATGGTCCTGGTTTTGTGTGTGCAAACAAGCCCTGACTCTCAAAGTAAATAAAGGCTGAGTTTCTAAGCAAAAAAAAAAATAAATAAATAAAATAACCTAAGACGGTCCCTTCCAGAAGTTGATGTGCAACTTGGGGAGGAGCAGTGAGAGCTCCAGGGAGACTAATCCAGGAGACAGTGGTTTTCCAAACAGCATTCTGTGGTCAGACAATCAATTTATTAATGATCTGTTGCAACGCTCATCTTGAACATTTCACTACATGTTGGATCGCATCCACAAGTGATTTTGATTCTATGAAATATAGAGTGACACCCGAGAAATCATGTGAGGACTGATTTCCGTAAAATGCTACCAATGAAGCCCTAAGACGTTCCCGTCATTTGAAAACTCCTGCCCTGGGGAATACATCCCCAGGAATACATAAAATACATAAAATGTAATACATAAAATGTCTACATTTATTAAAATGCAGAATTTGCATAATGAAAATTGGGGGAGCAACAACTACTAAAACAAGACCTGGCTGGGAGGCAGTACTGTGGGGTGCACTTGTTTTGTTTTTTTTTTTCTCAAAGATTTATTTTATCTGAAAGGCAATGTTACAGACAGAGGGCGGACAAGGACACGGCGTCAGCCATACATGTCCCAGACAGTAAACAGAGGCAATCCCGCAGTGACTTGCTTCAAAAGACCAGCCTCACCTGTGCCTGATGCGCCCTCCCCACCCTCCACTTCCTTTCACCCACTCGGCCCCTAGACAGCAAACGTCCACTGAGTTTTGACATGCCTAAGAAAACTTGCCTTAGCCCCTGCCTACTTCTCCACCTCTCCGAACACCCTCAGATTCTATTAAAGGCCAGACATGCTGCAGGACTGGTCCATCTACAAGCTGGCAGCTGGCCACCACGGACAACTTATTTCATTTTAACAATAAATTTGACCCCAGCTCTAAATAACTACCTAGGTTGCCTTGTACCTAGGCAATTGTTACACTGCTAGGAAGCCAACAGCTGGTGAGTACCACACAGGCAGAAAAAAAACCAGGGCAGACCAGCACCGACTCAAGGATGAAATGCAACATGGAATTCTGGATGGGATCCTGGCAGAGCAAAAGAATGTCAGAAGGAAAACTGGTGAATCTGCAGTTCACTTTGAAAAATAATACCGAAGACCTTAGGATCACAAAGGCACTACCACCAATGAAGACGCCACTTAATTTGCTAG